ATACATTTTATTCCCAATTCATCAATATAAGATAGTCATTTTTTTGGACTTTCTACATGAAATATGGAGAATTTAATACCTCTTACTTTCTGGTCCCCTCTTTCTACTTCCTTATTATGTTATTGCACATAGATGGTCAGGGTTTCCATTTTGTTCTGTTATCATCATTAAATCTTCAATGGTTTGTCCTTAGGTTCATTCTGAAAATTTAAAATCAGCTAAAACAGGATTTTAAAATAACATGATTATATAAAACATTTTATTGTGGACCTAATCTTTGGGTATAGACAGAGGAGTGGGATAGCTGGGTCAAAGGGTGGTTCCATTCCAGGTTTTCTAAGGAATCTCCACACTGCTTTCCAGAATGGTTGCACCGATTTTCAATCCCACCAGCAATGTATGAGTGTGCCTTTTCCCCCACATCCTTGTCAACACTTATTGTTGTCTGCATTCTTGATAGCCTATTTCTGACTGGCATGAAATGAAATCTTAGTTTTGATTTGCATTTCTCTAATTACTAGAGATGTTGAACATTTTTTCATCTATTTGTTGATGGAGTATTATGGACCTAATCTTAACATGTGATTCGGAAACCCATTCCATTTTGCCAATGGCCCTCTTAAAAATTCTAGTGGGAACTGTCCATGGTCCCCCAGATACCAGCTGACGGGTTCAGGGCAGAGGGCTTGCAGCCCTGTACTGGCACCCAGGAGCACATGGGCCTCTTGGGCAGCTAAGTCCACTGCCTACTAGTATTGAATTTATCAATAATGAGAATTTCAAACCTGAATTGAATTCTCATTATCTTCTAAGGTTGATGATGCCATCGGGAAAGGTCAGATTTGGGAAAGCTCTTCTCATTTGAAGTAAAGTGTTACCCTGCAGTTTCCATTTCATTGATCATGTTGAGCAGAACAAAGCTAATCCTCCTTCTAGTAACAGCCTTCAAATTGTTTGAAGGCATCCACAGGACAAATGCTCTAGTTCTTTCAAGATTTCCTCCTAGAACGTAACTTCAAAACTTCCACCATTCTGCCTATTCACTGAATGTACTCTGGTTTGTTTTTTTCCAAACTTTTTGTTGGGAAGGATAACTTTTTCCTTTATTTCCAATGCATTGTTGATCAGTACTTCTATAAAATAGAAAACGAATGACTAGAAAAATCTATTTAAAAAGATACAGAAAGCAAATATCCAAATTTATGTATTAGAAACCACAGACACAAAATTAAATTTTAATAAATGTAATGAGAATAAATATGAAGAATGGAATTATGCAAATGATACCCTTTGTTCTTTGAAAATATGTGTGTGGGTGATTAATATAGAGTATCATTATTATACTCATAGTTTTTTTCTTATATTGCAATCATGTGAACAAAAAATGATGACTAAAATTCCCTGCACTAAAGTTCTACATGCGCATTTTGAATGAATTCTGCTTATGTCAGTATTTAAAGTTTTAATTGTGACAATGAACTTGCTTCTGGCTTCTTAACTTAGGTCACCTTGGATGGACTGTTGACAATGCTGCTTGCAGAAAACATGTTTTGTTTTTAAGACACTTATGGTTGGAAACTGTCTCAGAAGTTTGTTGAGAGTATAAGAGATTTCAAAGTAATTTCAGCAAGCTCAATATGTTTATATGTAACTTACATCCAAACTGAAACATACGTGTTTTTAAAATCTGTTCAGTCCTCCATTTGTAGATGGTTGTATTAATTTATTCCATAAATTTATAGTTAAATGATCTCTTGATGAAAGAAATAGGTTCTGAATTTTATATACTTTTTACTCGATTATAGTCTGCAAACCAACCTTAAAATAGCACATTTTTCAATGTGTTCCTACAGGACCCAATAAGGTGCAGCTCACACCATATACCTCGACAAAGCCTGAGCAGAGCCCATACCTTATCAACAATCATGTCCACTGATCATATGTGAAATTTTGTTACCCATTTATAGCAACAATTTGTACCAAAACTGTACCTATTCCATTTCTAACAGCAATGTAAAAAGACTGCCTGTTTGGGGGAAATTCCTGGGTTTGTTGATCCTAACTGCAGTAAGTAGAACTAATGAACTTTCTAAAACAAATTATAAGACTGATTTAGGATTGGAGGAATTAAGCTCCATCCAGAGATTCTACCCTGATGATAAATAGTCATTGTATTTTTGAAAGACAATTTGATCTCAGTCATATCTAAATTTATGTAATAGCATTATCATAAGACAAATCAATTGTGTTTTTATTTTTATTTTTTTAAATTTTTTCGGTGGACACACAACATCTTTATTTTATTTTATGTGGTGCTGAGGATCAAACCCAGCACTCCGCGCATGCCAGGAGAGTGTGTTACCGCTTGAGCCACATCCCCAGCCCTCAATTGTGTTTTTAAAAGCACAAATCTTCAAAGGCTTTCATCTATTAATGCAGATTCAGCCATTTAATTGGGAAGCTAAACCGAAGGCCTGAATTGTATAATTTATAAATGCTTTTGTTAGCAGTAATGGTGAAGGAGTCATTTGTTATTTCCAGCATTAATTGGACTGAACCTAAAGATTTGTTAATTATACAAAGAATGTTTAAGTGACCAGCTTCACTGTCTGCCTAGAGCCTGCCCTCATTTGCAAATGTGATGTCCTCTGGAGAGGTCAGCCCTGTTTTAGGAGGAGGAAGCTACTTGTTTCTTGCTCTGTGTCAGTGTGATCTGACAGCCGTCCCCAGGTCCTGGCCACCAATGCCCATGTCACATTACTTCATGCCCTGTGCTTCAGTTTATCCTTGAGGTGGTCACGTAACCAGACTCCAGGCCTGTGGATGGCTCCTCATAGCCGTACAGGTAATTGCATTTGCAATCTAAGGACATCTATTTCCAGCAGATCAGCCCAGTGCCCCTGAATCCCGGAATGATTAATCAGAGGCCTGGGGAGTGGCCTTCCCCAAGGTCTGTCACTAGCTCCTGTCCTGCATTTCATACAGAAATGGCTTGGAGTTCACTGGGCTGAAAGTGTCTAGAAAAAAAAAAGGAATCGGCCTGCTACCAGGTACTGCTGTGTTCCATGATCACAAGTTAGTTTCAGATTTCTATTAGATATAAATGTGGGCACTCAGGTTTACAAAGAAGAAATGCTTTGGATTCGCTGGACTGTTATGGTCCTTGTTTCTAAGTCAGTGAACAATAGTATGACCCTGGGTAGAAAAATTCCTCAACTAGTTTAGTTGTGTTCATTGGTCTCTTGGTATCAGCTGCCTCTTGATTAGTTTACTTTAAATTGGCAGGAAGTCCATGACACTCAAGCAGCTGATATTTTTTTTGTGTGTGTATTTTGAGGGCCTTTTGTAAATAATCAGTTACAAAAAAAAGTTTGTTGACTATGGAAAATTCCTTTTGCCTTAGGTTTTTTTTTTTTTTTGTATCAGAGATTGAACCCAGGGGCACTTAACCTCTGAGCCGCCGTATCCCCAGCTCTTTTTAATATTTTATTTTGCCACAGGGTCTCCCTAAGTCGCTCAGGGCCATGTCTCGCCAAATTGCTGAGGCTGGTTTTGAACCTGCCTCCTGCCTCAGCCTTCCAATCTGCTGGGATTACAGACATGTGCCACTGTGCCTGGCAATTTAGGGTCTCAGTTTTCTAAGCACACCTGAGATTGTAGTTTCTAAGTAAAATGTGGCCGGACTGATCATCACTTATACTGATAATGGTTACTCCATCTGACCAAGTAAGCAGCTACAATGTTACCACTGGAAGAGCAATCGGTAACCTGCAAAAATACTGTATTTTTGATAAAGTGTCCTCAAATCTACTTTAGTGGCCATAATTTAATTATCAGTGGGCTTTCGCTACAGAGATGTCTAGTTTGCAAAGAGAAAGAGGAAACCAAGACCTTGCAAAAAGCAAGGCATTTTTCAAAGTCAGCTCCATGACGAGTTATTGCATCTCTGGAAAAGACAGCCTTCTTCTCTACCTACCTCTTATCGCTCAAATTGATGCTTGAGACTTACTTGATTTTAAAAAAAAAATCACCCCAAGAAAAATACTAAGATGTTCCTCCTAAATAGTAGGAACTAGTGTGTCAGCTAACCTTTTTCTGGTCTCCAAGTTGTTGGTGAAGATAAATACCATTTGAAACCAGCTCTAATGCAAAATAAATGATTGGGTTGTAACTAACAGGCTGAAGCATTTCCAGTTTGTTTAGGTGTACAGGCTGTGATTCAATGATACAATTTCTTCTTCTTCTTTTTTTTTTGCTTTTTCTCCTAAAATACTATTTTATTTTTTATTTTTTTGCCAGTTAACGAGGCAAATATAATAGCAATACTGGTTAGTCAACTGCTTAATCTTATTTGATATGAATCCATGTATTTTGGAACTGAATGTTAACAAGTGATTTAAAAATTAAAAGATACTCCTCTGGTGTCTCTTTGGATCATCCTAGATTAGGGTGAATAGCAGCAGGTGCACAGGTAACCTTTTATATGCATTATATTTTTCTGAATCTAATATTACTTAAGATCATTTTTCTCAGTATGGCACTTCATCTCCTCAACTTTTAATCCTCCCACCCACCAAATGGCTAGTTATTCCTGTCTTCTTTCTTCAGGTTCTGTCAATTTTCACCTTGTGTTTACGAGATAAGGGGATTACACAGTCAATGTATAGTGAAAGAAACATCCAGGTCTTCCTTATGGAATGATGTTTTCCTGAGAATGCTAGTCTATTTTTAAAAGTAGGATTAAAGAAGCATCTTTATTCAGATAATTTTTTAATGCTTTAACCTTTACAATTATCAGATTGTAAAGGTTTGATTGTAAAGGAAAAGTATAAAAATGTGTCTTTATGAAGAGACATTAGGGGACTCGGAGTTAAGAAAGGAGACAGTATTTAACCTAACTCCTTGAAGTCTTCAGAAAGCAAGGCAAATGGATTGCTGTGGGCCCTGCAGGTGTACTCTGCTGACTGCTCACGGTAGTGTCTTCCCTGTGATCATTTCAGGACTTGCTCAGTGCTATGGAGGCAAAAGAAGCTCTTGAAAGGGAGGTTAAGATCTTCCAAGAAAGGCTGCTTGCAGGCCAGCGGGCCTGGGACGCCTCCAAGCAGGAGCTGAGCCTCCTGAAGAAAAGCTCTTGTGAGCTGGAGAAGAGTTTGAAGGCCAGCCGCCAGGTGGCCACAGCCTCTGAAAGCCACAATGCCTGCTTTAGGGAGAAGGTCGCCAGCCTCCTCACGGGCGTATGGGGCATGACTGGGTCCACAGAGGACGCCATTTTGGAGAGGATTCAAGAAATGGGCAGCCAGGAAGAGAACTGGAGAAGGGTGAGTGTGAAATAGCTGCTTACAGGCTTCCTCAGAATAACAGACTCATTCATGCAGCCTGTCCAACACCTGATTTCTATGAAGCAGTTAAAAGCATAGTTTACAGGGGGTTGGGCCACTTTTAACTCTAGACAGTACTTGGGAAGGCCCAGGAGTCACTCAAGCTAACGGGGAAGTAAGTTCTGGAGCCAGAAACCTACCTGGCACTGACCCAGTCTCTACCATGTTCCCACTCATGGTCAGTGTGGGCTGGGGCCATCCTGAGAGGATGGCTCCTGAGATTTTGTTTCCTTATCTCAGTGAGGGTTAGTGCAAGGCTCGCAGTTCCTAATCCAGAACCCTGGGCCCAGTGTGCTTTTCAATTCAGATATATTTTTGTTTTTCAGAGTTCAGAAAGACAAGACAGTACATGGAAAGTCAGTAGACGCCACTGTGCCCAGTCCCCCACAGGGGTCTGCAGAGCCCCATCACCTGCCACCTTCCTATCACTTCACACCTGTGAGCTACTGGAGGGGGTGGGATGAGTGCCCCGAAGAGCCTCATGTCACTTCAGATCAGGGTTGGCTGCTCCGCTGGGTCAGGTCAGGCCAGCTTTGTCAGCAAGTAAATTAGGAAAAACCCTAAGGAGTTCTAGACCTGTAACAGTGTTTGCCACATAGGGTTATTTTTTAAGTTATAAGATTCGATGGAAAAAATTGTTATGAAGTCCTTAACACACTGTCTGGCAAATCACAGAAATTAATCTTAACTATTGCTGCTGTTTCTGGCCCTCTACCTCTTCCTCCTCCCTCCTCTGTACTGGTGCCCAGAAGAGTCCTTTAGGAGACCTAGTTACCAAATGGAGAAAGGGCTTAATTAATTAATATCCATGGTGGAAGCACATTTAATTTTGTCATCATTCATCTATCAACAATTCTCATTTCCTGTAAAGCTTTACTTACCAGAGTTAACTTCAGCACAGCTCTTTAAATGACCATCAAATCAAAATTTACTGAAGTTGTAATGAATGAGATGTTAAAGTAAATGATGTCCACATTCCATGTACAGTTCCACTATGGACCATTTCTTCTGTTGATGCCATAGTCATTCAAAAGGGGAAAATGCACTTTTCCATGTTTTATTGTTAGTAAGAATCTCAGTGATAACTAATTCAAAGCTCAGAGTGTATCCTCTGGCATCTCACCATTTCTCCTCTCCTTATTCTTGCTCTTGATATCCACTGTTTTATTCTCTATCTTTGACCTCTCCCATCTTTTTGAAGATTCTGCAAATAAGTGAGATCATGTAATAATTTTTTTTTCTGTGCCTGGTTTATTTCACTTAGCATACTGTTCTCCAGATCCACCCATGACTGTGGGAGATGACGGGTATGCTAATTTTTTCTAATATAGCAACCATTTTACTATATATGAATCTTATAACATCAATTTGTATGCCTTAAACATACATAAACATTTTAAAAAAACAAATTCAAGATTATATTTGTAAATTTCCCTTAACAATCCAAAAATTTAAGTTACCCTGAAAAAGTCTCCAAAATTCAAAATAGTCTTGAAGGAGTAATTGGGGCTGCAGTATTCTCTTTATGGATATAAAATGTTTATACTCACTCAGACATTGCTGGTGGGGCTGCAGATTGGTACAACCACTATGGAAAGCAGTATGGAGATTGCTCAGAACACTTGGAATGGAACCATTTTACCCAATTATCCCGTTTCTTGGTTAATACCCAAAGGACTTAAAATCAGCACACTACAGTGACACGGTCACATCAGTGTTTCTAGCAGCGCAATTTACAATAGCTAAACTAGGCATCCTTCAAGAGATGAATGCATAAAGAAAATGTGGTATATATGCATGATGGAATATTACTCAGCCTTAAAGAAGAATGAAATCATGGCATTTTCCTGTAAATAGACGGAGCTGGAGAATATCATGCTAAGTGAAATAAGCTGAACCCAAAGAACTAAAGGCCAAATGTTTTCTCTGATATGCAGATGCTAATTCACAATATAGGGGCCGATTAGGGAAGAACAGAGGTACTTTGGATTAGAGAGAAGGGAGTGCAGGGAGGGGAGGAGGTTCGGGGATAGGAAAGAGAGTAGAATGAATCAGACATTATTACCTATTGCATATATGACTACATGACCGGTGTGACTCTACAGCATGTACAACCAGAAGAATGAGAAGTTATACTCCATTTATGTATGATGTGTCAAAATGCATTCTACTGTCATGTATAACTATTTAGAACAACTAACACACACACATGCACACACACAAGTGTTCATACGCAGAACGCTCCTTGGCTAACCTCCACCCTGGAGAGCATATGCATCTCTAAGAGAAACTCAGTTTTTCTTGTGATTCAATTTATACAGAAATACTTCATTGAGAAAGGAAATTATTTACAAGCTTGAGAAAAACTTTATGAAGTTATTAACGATAATAAATGTGTTTCAATAGCCAAAGGCTTTTTCCGTTTATTTGACTGCTTTCCCTCTGTATTTCCAATCCTACCCCCCAAATCTATTTTAATTCTGGCATGTGAAACATGACGTACAATTGTCAGCATGATGTGTATGTTTATTTTCTAAAGCAAAATGGTTTAAATTGGTTAAGCCTAATGTGCCTCCCCCACTCCCCATAAAAATCAGGATGATTCAGAATCTTTTTAGTGCCTTTGTCTGCCTTTCCTACCCTGTAATTTTTTTCAATAGCTGTTCTTCCTGTTTAAAAGCCTGAAATCAAGCATATAGCTGGTGTCTTGTGTGACTCATCTTCAAGTAAAATCAGGAGAAAATGGATTTTGTACATTGTCTCAGAAATGTTTTTGGAGAATCTGAGCTTTACACATTGATGAATCTGTTTGCTGGGGAGGCTGCACCCCCCGCCAGCTGCTGTGTCTACACTGATGTGAAGGCTCCACAGTGGTGCAGGCTTGGCCTGGCCATCTCTCCCCATCAGGTCCACTCCTACCTGCTGAATGGTGCTTTTCATGTTACCCCTTGGCTACCCATTTTCTCTCTCCTGTATTTGCAGTTCTTGGTAGAACTGAGGACACCACCCACACTTCTTCAGTAAGTCATTTCTACTTGTTCCTTGAATTTCTGCTTCTGGCGAAATTTAATTTCCTTTTTAAAAGCTTTTCTGTATCTTGGAGCAGGGTTGCTCAGCCTTGGCATTACTGACATTTGGGACCAAATAATCTTTGCTGTTCTGTGCATTGTAGGGTGGTTAGTAGTATCCCTGGCTTCTACCCACAAGACACCATTATCATCCCCTCCCCAATTGTGACAATCACTGGTGTCTCCAACCAATACCAAATGTCCACTTCCTTAGAGGAACAGTCT